GAAAAGTAGGAAATTCAGGACTAAGAGAAATACTTCTTCATAAGGTGCATCACTTAGCAATGATCATCAATGTCAAAGATTTTAAGAGGGGATTGGGCAAATCTAGGAAGGACTACTAAGCACAGCTGTATGGAATGTGGATTTCTCACAAACATCTGGTTAGCCACTGAGGAATAAAATACTGAGTTACATAGATCTTTGGTTTAATCCATCAGTCTTTTTGACATTTTTGCCTTTTTTCAATTGCTAAAAACTGAATTGGACTATACCTAAACTCATGAGTTGCATTTTTAAAGACAAACTGAGGATCCATCAAGTGTTGCTCCTCTGTTCCCTCCTTCCTCTGCACTCCCCAAGTTGACGCCAGAGATTCCTCATCTATCTAGAATGGACCTGGGGAGAAGTGAGGAGTTGCAGGAGCAACCCATTCTGCCAGCCATTTTTGTTCCATTGGGAGACAGTCAGCACCGAATGCAACTCTGAACCTACATGAAATTTAAAAGTTCAACTGATCTTTTATTTATAACAACATTTCTGCTGGCTAAGGCTACACTGTGGCCCTTGGCACCTTTAGCCTTAGTTTGGAAGGAGTTCTGAATGGTTCGTTTCAAACTCTTTGTCATGCTTTTGGTTTGAATTCAGTTGATAGCTGTTATAACTTGAATGAGATAAAGGAGTATCGCTTACCTTTTCCTTGCACACACTTAAATTGCATGTGCACTTCACTGTTTTATCTTGACACTTTTCTCACCAGAGCGCTTCCTGATGTTTGCAAAGCTGTATATCTTAATCTTCTAGTGAAAGCTTTGAAATGTTTAAAAATTCTGCAGCTTTTACTGTAAAATCCACTTGATAAAATTATGTCCATAGTTGGCTAATAAAGAAACATATTTGTGAAACTACCTCCATTTCATAGCTACATGAAGTTGTAACCTGAGAGAGAAGCATAAATACACTGATGGTTGGGAGAACATTTGGCCCCAACCTGGCAGGCCTTTAAGAAGCAGTTAAGATTTGGCTCTTTTGCCAGGCACTTGGATCAGGATCAGCAAAGTTCCCATTTGGAAGAATGCAGCAAGTTTTAGTTCTGATCACCATTTGTTTTATTTCTAATGGCATGTGCTGTTTTTGTTCTCTATTTTTATTGAATGATTTTGTACACTGCCCAGAGTGAGTTGGGTGGCCATTAAAACATTCTAAATAAATACACACATTAGAAGTAGAGATAACTGCATTATGAGTAGCTGTTAAATAAAGCTATTCCTATTCTTGTTGCAATAGTTGAACCTCTGGATTAGGAGTCTTTATTTTGCATGAAACTAGGCTTTATAGTCCCAAAGGATTATCATAACACTGCGTGCAAATCAGCTGCAAGAATATATAATAGTGCAAGGGAATGTACTTTAGGGCAATTAATCTGAACAATTAATTTTTTGTGAATAGACTATATAAGAGTAGTACAGGTTTCCCATCCTTTATGTTAATTTGCTTTATGTTAATTTGCTATTGCTCATTTTTGTCCAAGAATTTGCTTTATGTGAAAAAAATAGCTATTAGGCAATTTGTGTCAGGAGAGTCAATTGGTACCAAAGGACTGGAAACGTAACTTCTTCCCATCAAAACCTCTTAACCTTTTCCTGCCAAAACTCTCTCTGCTTTCACTCACATATTGTTCCAATTGTGTATCCTGCCTCCCACCTACTTCTACACCCACAATGGCTACTACTATTATTATAGGGTCAAAACAGCCATCAACACCTTGTTTATCCTCATTATTCCAAATGAAAAGAAAAAGGATCTCTCTAACACTAGAAACAAAGCTGGACATATTCATCGTGCTGAAGCTGGTGAAGAATCCTAAAACAAGTTTTTAATCTGGGCGAATCTACTATGCACAACAGAACAAAGAATGCTAATAAAATTAATAGTGCTGTGATGCATTCTACTTTGTCATGGTAACCACACACATTAGAAAGCCAGCTGTACAAGAGGTGGAGCAAATGCTTTCACTGTACACTGAACACAAGGCAAGGAAGAAAACATGTTTGAGTAATGTAGTGCTTAAGAATAAGGTTCTAAAATATTTTGAGTACATTTGTCAATGCATTTGAATTACAAAATTTGACACCATACCCCAAAGGCCCATTTTTCCACTGGTTCACTGTCTTGCTTTACACAAATTCACTTTATGTGAAGTTTTTGGAAAATCTAACCCTAGCATAATGGGAGGGAAGCCTGTATTTTTAAAACTATGTTCCATAGAATATCAGTATTCTCCAAACAACTTGAAGGTAATCCACAAACTCTTCCAGTTTTGGGATCTATTCAATTTCTTGAGGCAAAATACCAGCCTATTCAAAAATAATAAGAGTTGGCAAGTCTCTCCTCAGCTATCACACTGAATTAATTGGAAAAAAACCTGAAAAACTTTGGCTGAAAATTATAGGAGGATATTAACTTTTAAGTGAAAAGGCATTTATGATTCTATCATCTTCTGCTATGTATCTTTTTGAAAGTGGATTCTTACCACACACTACAACCAAGATCAAATATCAAAACGGACTTTTTTTACAAATCTCACTCCAGACATTAGTGAAATATGCCATCATATTCAAGCTCATATATCCCATGAAGACTTATAACTGATCTGTTAAATTAAGAGAAAATAAAGTATCATTAAAACATGTATTGTTTCAATATTCTTTCCTTTCCTTTTAAAGAAGAAACAGGTGTTCAGGCAGATGGATGTTCTGTGACCTGGAAAAGTTTAAGAAACACTGAGATAAAGAACAGCAAAAGGAGACTGATTCCATATAAGGTCTTAATTATAGTAACAGCACTTCTTAGCCATAATCAAGGGTTGTGTGTGACTTACTGGATATAAAAAATTCCATAATATTAATGTAAATGTAAATGCTTTAACAGCAATTCTGTTTAACAATTTCTACAATAATTTACTACAACCTATCCAAAGTTAGCAGATTTGAAATAAAGTTATATAGGAATATTTATGTTATGGTAAGAAATCTTGAACAGTTTAACACTTTTATCCAGCAAGAAAGAACAAATACCACACATCTATGAAACGCAACTGCAACATTCCAAAAGTAACCAATCAGTCCTATGCATATCTACTTAAAAGTAATTCACAATGAATTCAATGGGAAAGAAAACCTGTAGTGCATTATTCCCCAATAAGTATCACAGAGGTGTGTAGGTTTTAACTCCTAGAATTCTCAACAATGGCTGAAAATTCTGAGAGTTGACATCCATACATCTGAAGAGCATCGAGATTGGGAAACAATGAACTGGCAAGCTGCATAAAATGTTATCTGTGTGAGATAAATTAATTGGAAATGTACAGCACAGTTCAAAGGGAATGAATATAAAATGCATATAGTATTAACATATATATTGGATGACTCAACATTCTGTTTCAGTAATCCAACAATTTAACAATCTCAAAAAAAGAAAAAGACATTGGAAGTGTAATGTGCAATTTTCAGAGTATGTAATGGGCAGATCCAGTTATATCCGTCTATCAGAAGAAAGGCACTTTCTTCCTATACAGCATGGAGAATCAAAATCCAGCACTGGCTTCCAGCTGGAGGAAGAGGACAATACTTTTGGCCAAACAATCCTTCTCCCCGCGGCCTCCGTTGCAATCACCCATGCAGCTTCTGAAGAGGCACAGAAGGCTGCAGAAGAATTGAAGACCAAATCACCCCCTCCCCCGGCCAACATTCATGGAATTCTGTTGAGTGCAAGTCTGAACCAGCAAAATATGTCAGGTATATGCAGGACAATACACAGTCAAAAGCTGTGAATACAGTGTTTTTAAAAAATAGCATTTTAGAAAGGAATTGCTTCAGTATTACTGTATTTCCTTCCTTTAAAAGTACCTGATAAAGTGGAATTTATGGATAGGAATTATGGATACTTAAACACATACATACACATATCTGGAGACAAACCTGTCATGTTTGAAATAGTGAAAAAAACAAATTAACGACAAATTTAAATTTAATTTATTTATTAAAATAAGATAATCAGAACCTGGGTTTACAATAAATGTTTTTCTCTCAGGAGCAATAAAAACAAATTAAAACCCAAATCAGCAAGGGAAAATCCTGTATATGCCAAATTTCCTTATAGTGCATCTCAAAAAAAAAAAAAAAAGTTTTTTCAAACAATTTTAAGGCTGGCTTTTTTTGAGAAATTTTTTTGCGGTTCTTTTTTTGTTTTTTTTTCTTCCCCAAAACAA